GGTTATCAGCATGGTGGAGGAGTCTATTGTGAAGAAGAATAAGGAAGGAACCAGATAGACACCTGCGGGCGAGATCACAGGCAAGATGTACCGTGGATGTAGCAAGGCGAACAAAAGTGTAAATGTGTGTTAATGGGTTAACATTCTTCTGAGAAAAGGAGGGATATGAGCATCTATGTATATATACATGTATGATGTATGATATATAATACACGTGTAGATATCAATGTAAGGAAACAGCATAACTTAAAAAAATTAATACTTATTCAGAGAGAGGAATGGGTGAAGGGGACCCAAAAGTTAGACCTCTCTGAATATACTTTATTTTGTATGATACTTTAGAGCCATAAACAAAAGGTAAGCATTTTAAATACATTCTTAAAAGCAGCAAGCAAAATGAAGCAAATGAATCTGTGCACTGACTTACTGATAGAATCACAAACAGAAGAACTATTCTAAATGACCTCCAAGCAAAGTGACTTAAAGACACACACACCAGTCGCGATGTGTGGACCTTATTGCATCCTGATTCAAACAAAAAGTTGTACAAATAAAAGATATTCATAAGGCAAAATCAGGACAACGTGTGCCATGGCTAGATATTTGATGATATTAAGTATGATGAGGTTAGGTGTGATAGGGTATCTCGGATTTAAAGAAAAAGTATCCTTTTTTAGAGATAATATTGAATATTTGTGAATAAAATGATAAGACATCTGGAACTTGCTTTGGATATAATTTGGTCAGTGCTGGGCAGAGCCCAGAGCCACTTCCCCCTCCCTGCTGCCTGAGGCACTGCTCTGAGGGTCCTGGTCCCAGCGTGTGGGGGACATCGGGGGGACACAGAACCTTCCCTGGAGAACCCTTAATCTAATCTCACTCCAAAGAGTGCCCTGGTAGCGGGAACCCAGACTCATTCTTGTGCTTCTTAAGCTTGACCACATCTGTAACGTCCTAGTTGAGCCTCTCTCTGAAGTCCTAGTTTCTTGAAGACGAAGTCACAAAAAGCAAATGTGTTTTAACTATTGCTAAATATGTAGAGAAAGGAGAGACAAGGTGGATCCAAACTCGTGAGGGGAAGGCCCAGAAGGGGCAACGGACAGAGGTTTGGGATTAAAAAGGGGGAAGAAAACTTTGTAAGGAAAAACGGCCCTTATGACCCAGCAGGGTGAGTCAATGGCATTGGCAGGCTGTAGGGGGCGCTAGAAGAACATGCGCATCTATGGGCCCGAGCAACAGAGCAACTCAAGCCTTGGGCAAGTTTTTGAAGTCTGAAACAATCTCCCAGGGGCATGTATGGCACTTCATCTGTAAAAACCAAATGGTGGTCACACCTGCCTCCCACGGTTATTAGAAAGATCAAGTGCGATCAGAGAGAGGAAGCAATACAAAGGAGTTATGTGCAGAAAAGATGCCTGATGCCAAGACAGTCAAAGAGCACTGGGTTGTTAGACACGTTCTGTGCTAAGCCAGTTCTCGCAGTGTAGAAGGAGCACCCAGATTCAGAGAACCCTAGTTTCAGTTCTGCCTGCATTACTGCAGGGCTGTGTGGCCTCGGGTAGGTCACGAGTATCAGTTTCCACATCTGCAAAACGGGCACAGCAGCTCACACTGTTGCTGAGGATTCAATGAGAGAAATTCACTAGTGTGTCTGATACCTGCTAAGCACAGGCCATGGGAGGGCTCGGTGGGAGAAGGAAGTGGACAGGAAGGTGAGCTGGCCTCTGGGCCCCATGATAGGTCCAGGAGTACCAGGCTTCAGGGGACCCTGAGGCAGCAGACTGGCTGCAGTCAGGATTACGCTGGCAGAATTGGGCCTCAACCCCAGGTTGGTGCTCAAAAACCATGGAGACACCTGGGCACCAATACTGGTCGTGATTCCTACCAACTAGGGGACCCTAGTCGAGTGGTTTTACTTCTCTGTACCTCGCTCTCCTCTTCCAGAAAGTGGGGGATACTATGCCTGCCTCTCAGGGTTCAATGTGCGTGTGCCGCTGGGTCAGAAGCTAGCATGTCCCCAGCAGCCTGTCCCCAAGTCCCGCTTTGCCCCCCAGCACCTCCCACTGCAGGGTGGTTTGGGGGCCACAGAATCTGAGAGGGGAGAGAACATAGAAATGCTTCATAATGAATTAGTTCCTTTCTCCAGGTCAGGGAGGGGAAGGGACCTAACCAAAGTCTCCCAGGAAACTGGAGGCAGAGCCAGGCTGCTTCCTGGAGAGGGTGACCTTCTGGAAAGCCAAGAGACTCCTTGCACGCATTAGGGCATTGGTGTCTGCCTCTGCGACCTTGTACCTCATTCTGGGAATTCCAGTATGTTTCCCTTACCTTCACCCAGAGCGCTTGCATTTCCTGAGTTCCCTGGGAGTGGTGTCTTTGAGAACCTGGGGAGCCTTTAGGCCAGGCACCGGACAGTCCTGTCATCAAGGGACCAGAAAAAGGGGAGGCTTCAGGCTGTGGTAAGGTCTGGGGAGATAGCAGGAGCTTCTAACAGAAAGTCAAGGCCAGTGTCCACAGACCACAACCTGAGGAACATCATGCTAGGAAGAGCACACTCAGAAGTCTCATCCCAGGGGAGGAAAAACTAGAAAAGTTTAGAAGAAATCATCCTAAGATCAGGGAATCAGCTGCATAGCAATGGGTCTGGTGGGGTCAAGGGCCCCCCTCTCTTAAAAGAGCTGCTTGGGGGCGCCTGGGTGGCTCAGTCGATTAAGCATCCGACTTCGGCTCAGGTCATGATCTAATGGTTTGTAAGTTTAAGGCCCACATCGGGCTCTATGCTGACAGCTCGGAGCCTGGAGCATGTCTTCGGATTCTGTGTCTCCCTCTCTCTCTGCCCCTCCCCCACTTGTGCTCTCTCTCTCTCTCTCTCTCTATATATATATAATAATCATTAAAAAAAGAAAAGAAAAGAGCTGCTGCATCAAGCCATTCCTAGTGGCTGATGCTTCAAAATATCTTTCAGTGACACTGACCTGTGTATGGGTGGAATAATATGATATCTGGGATTTGGTTGGAAATAATCCATTTGCCAAGAGGGCTGAAAGGTTTTTCATGAAACACAATTGGCCATGAGCTAATGATGCTTGAAGAAGGTGATGGGGACATGGGAGTTCCTTGTACTACTCTCTTTACTTTTGTACACTTATGACGTTTTTCATAACAAAACATTCAGATGTCCAGAATCAGCCGTTTCTCTCCAACTTGATGCTCACTGCTCTGGTCTCCCCGCCTGGATAGCTGTGGTCATAACCTCACAGCTCAGCCTGCTGTTCGCTGTTACCCCTCGAGCCTATTCTCCACACGGCCACTAGAGGGAGGCTGCCACACCGTGAGAGTCCCCAGCTCAAACTCTCCCGTGAGGCCTCATCTCACTCAGAGTATGGACCCCCAACTGCGGACTCCATCTCACCCCCTGTTCCTTCTCAGGCTCTTCTCCAGACACGCTGGACTGTCTTCAAGTCTCCCACAGTCTTCTCCATGACCCTTCGGGCCCTGTGTGCTGGGGGTGTTGGGGGACCTCTGCTGTGTTCAGACCTCATCCACCCCCCACCATCCTGAAGCTTTATAATATTGCATGGGATATAATTGTAATGAAAACACTTTATTTGTTGTTTATCTGAAACTGAAGCTTAACTGGACATCCTGTTTTAGATCATCCCTAAGAGTCTGAGCTCCCAGCACACAAAGGTTCCCCTCCTAGCAGTCACCAAAAAAGCACCCTCTGGGCTGACGCAGCCCTTTAGGGGCCTGCTGCACAGATTTCAGGTCCACTTTCTCATGTGGCAAGGTGTCCTTTTGCAGGGCACAACCTGCCCGACCGTTCATGGTAGTCTCCCCAGAGGCCAGAGAAGCAGGTGCTTCCAGAACCTGCCCTCCCAGCTTCTCCTCTCCCTCGTAGTGGGCAGGGACTGGGAGGGGGTGACCATGCCAAGGCTTAGACTGGCAGCCCCCTCTGGGTGCTTTTGGATTTGGGCCCATCTGGGATGGTCTAAATCCTCACAGCACCCCGTGCGGGTGGGTAGCGGGGGCCCATGCCAGGCGCCAGCTGCCCCCATGGCCCGAGGGTGCCCACTTGAACCATTCCAAGTAAACATTTGACCAGCCCGGCCCCGGCCATCATCCCACACCAACACTTGGCCCCTTGTTCCCAGACAGGCCCCTCTGTGTCCCGGCCTTTGTGGCTGACATTTCAGCTGAGCCCTGGAGGGGCTGGGGTGACCCCGTGCCCCATCCGCATTCTGCAGGAAGGCCCTAGGGAGGTGGTCCCTATGAGGCAGGCCCTGGGCGGGGGCGTCCCAGCAGACGAGCCGTCGCCAGGCTTGGCCAGCCACCCCCCGAGCCCCCCACGTGGGCCGCAGGACTGTGGAGCCCACAGGTCCCACAGCAGAGCCGCGGGGCCGCCAGCTGACTCGGCCGCTTTGTTCCAGGCCTGGAGTGGTCTGTGCGCAGCTGAGGACTGTGGCTCCTTCTGTGCTGAGAAGCCGCAGATAACGCAGGCGACAGGGCCTGATAAAGCGTCTGTCAGAGGCTTCCTCCCAGACAGGCCCGCTGTTCCCGCCGGCCCCAAGGGCCCCTGTAGCCGAAGCCTGTCTCCAGGGGTCAGCCCCTCTCTGGGGGCTCAGCCTTCCTGCCAGAGGCTGAGCAACAGGCTGGCAGACCCCTCCCCACTCCTATCTTCAGTCTGACTCTCGAAAGTTCCTAAGGCCTCTGGGCCCAAGAGCAGAATAATTAATCTTCTGATTTATTCCCATGAAGACAATGTCAAGGAATGTGACTCTCTCAATGGAACTCCAGACTGTAGCTCCTGGGGACTTAGGGGGGATGGGATTGGGGGAAGGGGTGCTGGAACCTCTTCCTAGAGCCCTTCAAATGACATCCTGGGTCACCTCTTTCATGTCACAAGAGCCCCCTCTATGACAGGCTGTACAATGGGTGTAGGAGACACAGGAACAAAGACATGGTTCGTGACCATAGGAGTTGCCAGAAAGGGGGGACAGGAAGATCCATCCCACACTGACCTGACCTGGGCCTGCACCCCAGGCCTATGAGGAGCCTGGCCTGGAGTAGGAGGTATATAAGGGGGTTCCTAGCCAGACTTGGGGGCATTGGGGTCCTGAGGGGAGACTCGATGCTGAAGGGCAGGAGAGCAGAGCCTCGAAGAGCTCATGAGCAAGGAGTCTCTAGTCTTATGGGGGCCCTGCCCTGGGGAAGGTCAGGTGATGGGGTTCACAGTACCCCCACAGAGAAGCCCGCTCCAGGCCAAGCAGATAACAAAAGTACTTCCCCGTTAATAATACAGACGTCCTTCCTCTTCAGAGCAGGAGGCCACATAAACACCCTAGCTTTGTCCAGGAGGGGCCCGGTCCCCATGATCATGAGAGGGACGCTTGGCTCGTGGCCCAGGCGTTCAGCCTCCTGTCCTTTCCTCTGTTTGCCTGGCTCTGCCGCAGACTTCCTGTGTGGCCTTGGAGCAGTCAACCGCCCTCTCTGGGCTTGGTGCAGTAACTTTGGGGCAGGGTGGAAGGGTGGAAGTAGTATAGTTGTCCCCAGCCAGTTGACCCTGGAGGCATTTGGATGTGGGTGGATGCGAGATATAGGGGGCTGGGGCTCTGCCACTCCATTGCAGGGTGGGCCTGGGGTCCCCGTGCCCTGCTCCGGGGGACTCCTGCCCATCACGAAGGGAGGGCATGGCTCTCAATGCTACATCAGAGGCTCCAGGCCTGGAAAGCCGGGCATTCCCTGCTCCGGGTCCCTACATTGCACTAAACGTGGGGACCTGAACTGCAGCTCCCTGCCACATTCAATAGTGAAAAAGACCGTAATTTTCTCATCATGAAGCAAAGCAGGAGAAAAAAATAAAGTAAAAGGCAAAAACCAAAAAGAATTGCAACCCCATTCAGTCTCTCAGCTCCACCCACAGCATCATGTGGCCCTAACAGAGGCTTGGTCCATGGCAAGACAGGTGAGGCAGGGGCCTGGGCGCCAGCGGGCCTTCCTGGTCCTGCAGAGAGCACTGGGGACACAGGAAAGACATTCTCGCTCTTCTGCTCCTCACCAGCTCTCTAGGCGGGACAGGACTTTTTTTCTTTTTACCTTTTTATTGAAATATAATCTACGTATAGCACCATGCACACCGATCTCAAATTATTCACGGAACTCAAGTTCAAGTATGAACTCTTGCATACGGGTACACCTGGGTGACGCCAACCAGATCACGATACAAAACACTTCCAACATGCAAGAGGTTTCCCCTCAGCTCCCTTGCCGTCAGCGCCCCTCTCGGGTAACTGCCATCCCAGCCTCTCTCACCAAAGATCAGCTCTACCCGTTCCGGAACTTAATACTGGAATCACATGTACCCATTCTTTGCACCTGGCTTCTTTCACTCAACGAAATGCCAAGTTCAACCTCGTTGTTGCATCTATTGATGGTTTATGTTGTTGTTGCGTGATATGCCATTGCACAATGATACCACACCTTATCCAGCCACTCTTCTACCGAGGGACACTGGGGCTGATCCCTTTTGGGGCTATTGTGACCAACCCCTAGGAACTCCTAGGGCCTTTGGGACATGTGCATTTTTTTCCCTTGGTTATATACCTAGGAGCGTGTCTGCTAGGTCAGAGGGTGGGCGTACACTTGTCACAGCTATTTAGACAGTAGTCCCATTTTACAGATGTGGAGATCGAGGTTCAGAGAATTAAAGCAGAGCATCCAAGCTCATGCAATTATGAAGTCGTGAAGACTGGTCTGGAATCCAGAGAGTTTTCCGACTCCAAATGCTTTTTCAGGAGAGGTCGGCGTTCTTGCCAATCTTTTTAAGTTCTGCTTTCTAGAACAGGTAAAGGAGGTGCCGGGGTGGAGGGAGCCACATAGAAGGGGAGAGAAAAGGGTGACTCTGATGGCCTGCTCTGTAACTAGCTCCTCGGGATGTCCCGGCTGCCTTGGGAAGGCACAGCTCTACCCCAAGGCAGACACAGAATATGTGTGGCGACTGCAGAGCCACAAAGGCAGGCCTGGCCCAGCCCCTCTGCCCCCCAGTCTCACTGCCTCACTCTCCTCAGCCACATGGGCTTCCTTGCTTCTCCCTGAACATACCAAGCATGCCCCGCTTCACGGCCTTTCCACCTCAGCTCCTTCTTTCAGAACACTCCTTGCTTTGGACAACCACGTGACACCCCCCTACCCCCATTGGTATGGTCTCTGCTCAATCACCCAACCTAAGAAAGCACCCCCATTGCATGCTGTCCCCTTACCTTTTAAACTCTATCTTACCTCCCATCTGACCTAATATCTTGTGTATCTTTGAGGGTTTTCTTTTTTTTGCCTGTCTTCCATCATAGAATGGGAGCTCTATGAGAGAGCCAAGCCTCACCACATTGTTTTCTGCTCCACCTTCGATGTGCTGAAAGGTCCCTATCTCCCCCAAAACCCTTGTCTAGAAGACATTCTTCATTCCCCACTGCTACTTGCTGGCCTGGGAAGCCTTTGCTGATTCACATCATGGCTCTGAACCTCAGTTTCTTCCTTCTATAAAATGGGTGGAAGTTGGCCATGAAGTACAGTATAGAAGCAGCCCTCGATCAGAGGTCTGCTGCCATGAATTCTCATATCCCAGGACTGCTGTGTGTTTCTGGCCAAGTGCTGCCCTCTCTGGGGCAGAGAGTCCCCATGTGTCAAATGAGGTAGTATGGCAGAACTATCTCCAAGGGCTGAAATCCTCCCCCAGGTGTGAGTGAAGTGAGTGACCCCTGTCCTTTCCCAAGGAAGAGAAAATTTATCCAGGAAGGCAAGGAGATGGAACTAAGCGAAGAGGTGGAGGAGATGAAATATGAAATTTGCCAATGTCACAGCTTTGCTTTGACTTGGGCTTGCTGGACGTTTCCTCTCTGAGCCTCACTGATTGCCCAGCTGAGGCTTGGGCCGTCCAGGCAGGTGGCTGGGGAGCTGCGTTCCACTGCTTCTCTCTATTAAACAGGGCTCCGAGATCCAGAAAGTTACCAATATCAGACTGCCAGCTAGGAATGAAGGCCCAGCCTCTGTCCAAGCTGCTCACTGTTCTACAACTTGTCTGCCCATAAAACCAAGACAGGGCAAAAGTAAGTCCGCTTTTCAAACCACGTCATAAAGAGACCCAGTTTTCAGATGATGAAATGAGGTCTTCTCAGGGACCCCACAGACCATTCTTTTGGCCACGCCTTCTGGGCTTACGACATGTCAGTGTTACCTCACTGAAGCCTCACGCGACTCTGCAAGGAACATACCATTATTGCAAGAACTGTCACTCAGAAAGATCAAGTGACTAGTGCAAGGTCACTGTTACTCCCACAGCCAGTGAGTAACAGGGCGAGAATTTAAACTCAGTCTGTCTGACTGCAGATCTGTTCTTCATGCTTCCTTCCTGTGGATTGGTGGAGGAAAGGACCAATCTTGTCCTTCAGGAGCCCAGAAGCCTGGGAGACTATTTCTGCTGGCAAGGGGTGGGGGATGGGGTGGAGGAGGCGCCAGGGCCTTTGCACCTGCCGTGTGCTTTATCCAAAGAGACTTTCCCTAGATAATTGCCTTCCTCACTACCACACTTTACTCAGGTCTTAGGTCAAAGGGCATTTGACCATGAAGACTGTCTTTCTACGACCACTGAGCCTATAATAAAACAACCCCTCCAGGGGCGCCTGGGTGGCTCAGTTGGTTAAACGTCCGACTTCGGCTCAGGTCATGATCTCATGGTTAGTGGGTTCGAGCCCTGTGTCAGGCTCTGTGCTGACAGCCAGCTCAGAGCCTGGAGCCTGCTTCAGATTCTGTGTCTCCCTCTCTCTCTGACCCTCCCCTGCTCACACTGTCTCTCTCTCTCTCTCCCAGAAATAAATAAAACATTAAAAAAATTTATAATAAAAAAAATTGTTTTAAAAACTCTCCAGCTCCCATTATGCCTTTTCCCTTTACACTATCATACCTATCACCATCTGAAGCACTATCTTGTCTGACTTGTCTATTTCTTTCTTTATTGTTTATCTCCCCTAAGAATGTAAGATTTTATCTGTCTTACTTATCATTATAACCTGAAGGCCTAACATAGTGCAGCACGTAGTAGTCGTAGTAGTAGTTGCTGTGCAATCAATACTGGCGCGTGGAAGGCATGCATGATTGGGCGCCCTTTCCCCTACTAAGTGAAAGAACATGGAGCATCTCTTATCTGCTAGGCTGGAGGAGAGGGCTGACCCATGCACATCTCATTGCATCCATAGCTGTTGTTAACCCATTTCATGGATGAGGGAACTGGGGCTCCCTCCAGCATCAAAGACCCACAGAGGGTGAGCGGCAGAATAAGCAGTCCATCAGGCTTGGGGCCTTCAACCTCTTGGCGGTCTGGCTCCAAGCCCAATGCTCCTTCTACGAGCGGGGGCAGGGCCCAGAAAAGGGAAGGGATGCCAAAGGCCCCCAGAGCCCTCGCCGGAGGACTGTCGCGCGGTGTGGCCACCAGGCTCTGGCCTGGAGCCTCACAAGCCACACCCTGCGCCAAGCCGCTCTGAATTCCTCCAGCCCCACCCCCGCCCCCGCCTGGCGCCACCCCCCACCCTTCCCCTCCCACCCCGCCCCCTGCCCGGCAGGGCTGCCCGGGAGTCAGGACAGGCAAACCGGCCACGGGCCGCTCGTGACCCCCCCACCCCCCACGCCAGATTCCTCCAGCCCCCGGCCCGATCGCTCCGAGCCCCCAGACTCGGGGCGCCCGCAGGCCCCGCGGGTCAGCGGGAACCGGCAATTTCCCGGCCGCCCGCCCCGCCGCCCGCTCTGTACTTAGCCTGATGACGGGTTCCCGCGGCCCTAATGGCGGGGCGGGCGGCGGGTTCAGGGCGGGCGAAGCCGGCCCAGCCGGTCCCGTGCTCGGCTCTCAGGCGGCCGCCGGGCCTGTGTCATCCACCAGGAATTTCTGTTTTCCCCTCCGCGGGGCTGGAAGAAAAAACAATAATTAGGTCACTGGGCAGGCGGCAGAGAGGGTGTGGGACAGGCCAGTGGCGCCCTGTTGGGCAGGGAAAGGGTCTGGAAGGACGATGGGGAAGGAGAGCCTCCTGCCCCCCCCCCCCCCCCGCAGTGGCCCCTGTCCCCTTCCTGCCCTCCCCAGGATGCCAGATGATGGAGGCAAAGCATTCCTGACCTTTTCCAGCATTCACTCAGGGTCCCTTCACTGTAAGCATTCACTGGGCATTTCTGTGCACCTAATTCTGTGCTCCGCGCTGGCGACTGAGCATTATGAATAGGAAAGAAGGAAGGACTGAGTAGTTAAGTCCAGCCAGCAGCCCGCACTGATATATAGGGGGAGGCCTCCTGCACAGGGCAGGGGAGTCTCAGGGGACAATGCCCCCCAGGCATGGGGGACGTGGGGCTGCAGGTATTTAGGGATGTTTCCTCCAGGAAGTAGCACCTCCACGGAGACCTCATAGAGGCGTAAGTATTGGCCAGGCCAAGTGGAAGAAGCAGGAAAGGACTTTGGGAATGGAAGGAATAGCATGTGCAAAGGCTCAGAGGTAGAACCGTGCATGTTACCGGACTGCATGTACAGTAAAGAAGCATCGCATGAACATTTCATTCTGAATGTGGTTTCACTGATTTACAGACACGTAGTTTTGGTCCAGTGAGGCCCCTATACACAGGCAGCTACACTGCTGCTCAGATACAGCCACTCGTTTCTACACTGGAGGGAAATTGTTCTGGATTCACTGAGCAGTGCTGGGTTCTGGGTTCTGTACCCTTGGGCAGGTTAAAAGATTTTCAAGGGTCATTTGGACTTAGCACATTGCTTGCCTTTCACTCTGCACCTTAGGACCGCTCCATGGGAAAGGGCGAGGCCAGAGCAGCTCTGTCCGGCTGCGCTGTCCCAAGTGTAAGTGATGAGACCAGGGAGGTGGGCAGAATTGGTGTATAGAGGGTCTTATGAGTCATGGTAGGGAATTTAGACTTTATCTTACGGGAAATGGGGAACAATGGTGTAAAGCAGGGTGGGAGGGAACAGGGTCAGATTTCTGAAAACTAATAGC